TCGCCTTTTATTGTGACAATTCCTCTATTGTCCCATAAAATATCACCCGAAGCGTTGAGTATTCGTAGAAAACTTTCGGCTTTTTTCTTAAAAGTTTGTGGAATTGAGGCTATTATTTCATCTTCTGATATTCCTGTAGGCTTCGATTCAATTGCTATGCTTACAGGTTTTCGCATTTGTTCCGAAAAATGTAAATATTTCTGTAAAACTTGAGAATACTGTTGCCACTTTTCATATGAAGACAACTTAGAATTTAATACTTGTGACATTTCGTCATCAATTTGCGATAAAACATCGTCTTTCCTAGTTTCATTTGCTTTAATTCGCTGCATAAATTCCTGCGGTACGAGTAACATTTTCTTTGCGTGTTCCATGATTATTGAAAAAGACTTCCGAGTAAGCCGCCAAGTAACGGCCCTAGCACAAATGGCAAGAATGCACCTCCGTTTTGAATTAGTATCTGTTTCTTCTTTTTTATCTTTTCACGGGGCGTTACCATACGCCGTAAGATGGTTTTATGACGAGCGAGACTTCGCTTCTGATCAGCGGTCAAATCGACTTGTCCTTTTAAAGTGTTGTAAATACACTCACATATGCACCCAATTTGATTATCGTCCAAACATTTTATCAACGCCAACCGCTCCTTTGATCCCAAATTTGAGAGAGCACGCAGCAACTCGGAATGTTTCGTCAACTTTGAAACCATTATGAATGTACCAATTGCTCAAGATTCAAACCTTTAATACCCTTTTTTGGTATATATACCACACAAGCGCCATCTTCTTCAAATATCGATGTTCTATAGCGGAAAACATCCGGTGTACTTTGTTTTAAATCGAATAACAGATATCCGTGGGGTTTAGACGTTGCATCATTATACGCTTCTTCTAAAAATTTGGAGTTTTCAGGGCAAATTTGCCGCGTTAAATGCTTTATTTGTGCCCGATCTCGGGGATTTTTGAATAAAATAATGTAGTGTGCATTTAAAGATATATCTCTCTGTCCTTTTCCTTGATGAAATATGTTTTGGGTTAGAAAGAAAACACTGAGGTTACGATGATGACATCCTTTTGTAAAAAATGTCAACAATAGCTCCATTTGATTCACGCATTAAATCATCAATAATTATCAGTACAGGTTTTAAGCCATCGAAACTGGACATATCGGGTAAGCCTTGATGGAATTCAACACCTTTTAGATCTTCGTACAATGACTGCCATTCCCCGTAATGCCAAACTATTTTTTCAAACAGTACAGAGCAGATGTTTGTTATATTTTCAAAAGGATGTCATCATCGTAACCTCAGTGTTTTCTTTCTAACCCAAAACATATTTCATCAAGGAAAAGGACAGAGAGATATATCTTTAAATGCACACTACATTATTTTATTCAAAAATCCCCGCGATCGGGCACAAATAAAACATTTAACGCGACAAATTTGTCCTGAAAATTCCAAATTTTTAGAAGAAGCGTATAATGATGCAACGTCTAAACCCCACGGATATCTGTTATTCGATTTAAAACAAAGTACACCGGATGTTTTCCGCTATAGAACATCGATATTTGAAGAAGATGGCGCTTGTGTGGTATATATACCGAAAAAGGGTATTAAAGGTTTGAATCTTGAGCAATTGGTACATTCATAATGGTTTCAAAGTTGACGAAACATTCCGAGTTGCTGCGTGCTCTCTCAAATTTGGGATCAAAGGAGCGGTTGGCGTTGATAAAATGTTTGGACGATAATCAAATTGGGTGCATATGTGAGTGTATTTACAACACTTTAAAAGGACAAGTCGAATTGACTGATGTTCAGAAGCGAAGTCTCGCTCGTCATAAAACCATCTTACGGCGTATGGTAACGCCCCGTGAAAAGATAAAAAAGAAGAAACAGATACTAATTCAAAACGGAGGTGCATTCTTGCCATTTGTGCTAGGTCCGTTACTTGGTGGCTTACTCGGAAGTCTTTTTCAATAATCATGGAACACGCAAAGAAAATGTTACTCGTGCCGCAGGAAGTTATGCAACGAATTAAAGCTGGTGAAACTAGGAAAGACGATGTTTTATCGCAAATTGATGATGAAATGTCCCAAGTATTAAGTTCTAACTTAAGTCCGTATGAAAAGTGGCAACAGTATTCTCAAGTTTTACAAAAATATTTACATTTTTCGGAACAAATGCGAAAACCTGTAAGCATAGCAATTGAAACAAAGCCTACGGGAATATCACAAGATGAAATAATAGCTTCAATGCCACAAACTTTTAAGAAAAAAGCCGAAAGTTTTCTACGAATACTCAACGCTTCGGGTGATATTTTATGGGACAATAGAGGAATTGTCACAATAAAAGGCGAAGTAATCCCGTCATCGAATATTATTGACTTAATACACGACACAGTAAGACCGCGTCAATCAACAAATCCAGAAGGTGGCCGACAGTTTGCAGATTTCGTAAAAGAAATTAATGTTCCTCAAGAATTTATTGGCAAAAAACAAAGTGTTGTAAAAACCGAAGACATTATTTCGAAACGCCCAAAAATTACTGTGAACCCTGTTCAAGACGTTACCACAAAACGGACGAGAAGTGCACTTAAGCAACCGGATACGAGAAAACGTTCCAAAAGTTCTGGTGGGCTACAGCGAGGTGGATGGAATACTTCTAAACGATTGCATATTCCCGCATGGAAAACCTTTAAACTTTAAGTAGATGGAAAGCATATATTATGATCCTTCACATCCTGCCGGATTCGGTGGAGTTTCCTCCTTGTCTTCAGCGTTAAAAAATAGATATTCAACTGAGGATGTAAAAGCATGGTTACAAAAACAAGAAGCATATACTGTGCACAAGCCCGTTAAAAGAAAATTTCAACGCAACAAATACATAGTTAACAACATGTTTGAATTATGGCAAGCCGATCTTTGTGATATGAGAAGCCTAGCGAAAAACAACAGAGGCTATAATTACATATTAACGGTCATTGACGTATTCAGTAAGAAAGCATGGGCAAGACCGCTCAAGCAAAAAACAGCACATTCTGTAATTGAGGCGTTTTCGTCCATTTTTAAAGAATGTGGCAATACACCTGAAAATATACAAACTGACAAAGGAAAAGAATTTGTTGCAGCAAGTGTACAACAATTGTTTAAGAAATACGCTATAAATTATTATGTAACTCATAATCCCGACGTAAAAGCGGCCATTGTCGAGCGACTAAATCGTACCTTAAAGTCAAAAATACACCGATACTTTACGTATAAAAACACATTCAAATATGTGAACGTTTTACAAGATTTGGTGTCTGCATATAACAAATCCTATCATTCATCAATCAAGATGGCGCCTAATGATGTGAACGAAGAAAATATCTTGAAAGTTTGGCAGAACCTCTACGCGAAGGGTTTTGGTAAAGAAACTCGACCCATATATAAAGTTGGACAACATGTGAGAATTGCCAGAAGCAAATATCATTTTGAGAAAGGATATGAGAGCAAAGAGGTGTTTAAAATTATTAAAGTTATAAAGAGACGTCCGCCTGTGTACAGAATAGTGGATTTAAGCGGTGAAGATATAGAAGGGACTTTTTATGAGGAAGAACTGCAGGCTGTTACGATAGACGAAGATACAGTATTTAAAATTGACGAGATTTTGGAAGAAAAAGGAAGAGGAAAAAACAAAAAATATTTAGTGAAGTGGCGAGGTTATAGTGACAAATTCAATTCTTGGATTTCTGCGGCAGAACTCAAAAACATATAAAAATGGAAGAAGAATTCTACATTACCCTGTCGATTATTTTCCCAACAATACAACTTCACACTTTGTTACACAGTTGCCAAAGCGTATAAGATTAAGTGGTAATTGGTCCGTCGGGATAGCCGAAATACAATATCCTTGTGCGTTTGCGTCAATCAGTGAAACTGACAATTTAATTTACTACAGAGATGCGCCAATAACAGATTTTCCGTTAAATAAAGTTTTAGAAAGTGCAGCGACATTTTTCCGTAATAATCTCGGAACGTCTATGTATAAAAACGGCGGTTGGTACGTGATCAAACTTGATGCTGGTAATTATGAAAACATTGAAGATATTCTTAAAGAAATAAACAATCACGAAAATTTAGGAAAGTTAATCACAATCAAATATTACAAGATCACAAAACGTGTGGCGATCGCATTTAGGACGCCTCTCTCCGTACTGGGATTTTCCCAAAGGTTAGCTTTACAGCTTGGGTATCGTCCAGAACAGAATGTAGTACGCGATTCCATACCCCCGCATCCTGCAAGTATTTGGTCAGGCGTGCCCTCACAGATGTTCATTTATTGTGATATTGTGGAGCCGCAAATCGTAGGAGATGTGTTATCACCACTAATGAGAATAGTTAACATTACCGCCGAAAATTACATTTATGGAAGTCATAAAGATGTAGTGTTTTCACCGTCACACTATATGCCCGTGATGACGAAAGAGTTTGAAAATATCGAAATACATATAAGGACGGATACAGGCGCTCCTATGCCATTCGAGTTTGGAACATTGAGTTTAAAGCTTCATTTTAAGAAATGGACTACCCATATCAACAATAGTACGTAAATCAAGCGGGCTCGGGTATCGGTACGATTTATAGAGGTTCGCCGTACCAAAGAGGTCATGGAATAGGAAGCTGGCTGGGCGGAGTGTTTCGTTCCATATTACCTTTGTTTAAATCGGTAATGCGAGCTGTGGGAAAAGAAGCTTTAAGAACTGGTGCAAATGTACTAGGTGACATAATTGAGGAGAAACCAATTAAAGCAGCGTTTCAAGAACGAGTTCAGGAAGCAGGAAGAAACCTTAAACGAAAAGCCGATGACAAAATTGATACATTAATGCACGGATCTGGTTATAAAAGACCACACATGATCGATTACGGTCAGTTCAAAATTGCTACGGAGAAGAAAACTACACGTCCGAAAAAAGCTCCTAAACGCAAAGTTGTCAAACCAACATTCAGTGACATTTTCTCAAAGAATGGCATTCTTTCACGCACAGTCATGTGAATGCATCAAATCTGAGTTGGATCTGTTTGCACTTCCTGCAACACAAACCAGTATCGAAGGTGGGGAATGGGTGTTTTACAAGCCTTTATCATCACTATCAGACGAAGCGCCTATTGAATTCGTGGTCCCCGGAAATGGAAATGATTACCTCGATTTAAGCCACACAATGCTCTACGTTACGGCGAAAATTGTAAAACAAGATGACGCGACTTTGGGTGCGGAAGATGTTGTAGCGCCTGTCAACAATTGGCTGCATACGTTGTTCAGTCAAGTGGAAGTATGTTTGAATCAGAAATTAGTGTCACCACCGAGCAATACTTATGCGTATCGTGCATACATTGAAACTCTATTGAATTATGGCTCTGAAGCCAAAGCAACTCATCTGGGGTGTTCACTATGGCACAATGATACTCCGAAGCAAATGGATACATTAACAGCTGATAACAAAGGTTTCGCTATTCGTCAAAATACCACAAAGCTCGGTAAAATGGTGGAAATGGTAGGTCACGTGCACGCGGACTTATTTAATCAAGAAAAGTTTCTCATGAATGGAGTTGAAATGAAAGTAAAATTTGTTCGAACAAGAGACACCTTTAGTTTAATGGCTGCTACTGGTTCAACATACAAAGTGAAAATTGTGGATGCCAGTTTACTGGTTAGAAGAATGAAGATTAATCCTGTAGTTCTTCTTGCGCACACAAAAGCATTAGAAACCACTGCAGCCAAATACCCTATTACTAGATCGGATGTGAAGGTGCTAACGATTCCCGCAGGTGTGCAACGCAAATCGTTGGATAATGTCTTCCTTGGACAACTACCAAAACGCTGCATAATTGGTTTTGTGTCGAATAGAGCGTTTAACGGAGAATACGCTTCCAATCCCTTCAACTTTCATCATTACAAGATTAATTATATGTCTCTGTACATTGATGGGCAGCAAATTCCATCAAAACCGTTACAACCAGATTTCACTCAAGAAGGATTATACGTAAGGGCCTACCACACTTTATTTTCTGGAACTGGAATACATTTTTTGAACGAAGGAAATAACGTATCACGTTTAGACTATCCGCACGGATACTGCCTAATGACTTTCGATTTAACGCCGGATTTATCCGCAAACGCCACAACTCATTGGAACTTGGTAAAGAACGGTTCTCTTCGTATCGAAGTTGGTTTCCAAGACGCTCTGACTGAGACGGTGAATTGTCTCGTGTACGCAGAATTTGACAACGTTATTGAAATTGATAAACATCGAAATGTCATCGCAGACTTTAACATTTAAAAAAGTTTCTTTTGACGAGTCCCGGAATACAGTGCGTCACATAATTGCATGGCCACATGCTCATCATCAAGCTAGAAAAGGACCTTGGATGCAGTACGCCAGGGATACCGTACGTTTCCAAAGACGCATTCATCAACTTGATTACATCATTTCCCCTGTGTTGGAAAAAAAGCTACTGCGCAGCGCATGACAGAAGGGATAAAATTATAATACTTTATTACGGATCCTCAGTTTATTAGAAAATGTTTCATGTGATGGATGCCTACGTTGATTTTCAAGGATTCCGCGGAAGCTTAAAGGAATTCATTCCGAAAGAAATATCTATCGTTTCGTCGGAGGGACCTAGTTGCACAACTCTACTGATGAAACCACCCGTCAATTATACTGTAACATCAGGTATGAAAAAAGAAATCAAATTCTTAGAAGACTGTTATCATGGCTTGAAATGGAATTCCGGGTACATTACGTTCGAGAACTTTGAAGAAGAACTACGCACGTTACTTCAGCCCTTCAATAGAATATACGTAAAGGGAGTGGAGAAACAATACCTACTGAATTTCCTTGACAAGTTTGTAATTAATTTAGAAGACGTGGGTTGCCCTTCGCTAAAGAAGTTAAAGAAAAGTCATAGCGGTGTAAGGTGCCTCAATCATGCGGAGAACACGCTTATGTGCGCTCAAGAAAATGCCTTAATATTACACGAGTGGGCGCAAATTGATTCAACAAATGAATACCCTAGAACTTCAACGAGCGTTGAATCTGATTCAGAAGAAGGCTGCGCGTGCTGTTTTCGCATCAGATGAACTTATACGAGCAAGTGTACGTCGGCCATTTGCTGCAATTGTCAATACAGATGTTTCAACACGCACAGGGCAACACTGGAACGGAATTTACATAGATGAAGATGGAAATGGAGAATATTTCGATTCATTCGGACGACCACCTACCGGATTACATTTAAAATTTTTGAAAAAACACGCCCGGAAATTCACCTTTAATTCGCGAGTGCTGCAGCATCCTTTATCAACTTATTGTGGACAATATTGTTTAATGTATTTAGTTTTTAAGTTTAATAATTTATCACTTAAGGAATTTGTAGATATGTTTAATAATGATTTAGAATGTAACGATGATATAATTGATTTATTGTATAATATGACTTTTTATAAGGTGAATCTAATTGATTAATAAAGATCCGTATATGTATTTGGGCCTTTTATTTAAAGAAAAAACGTAAGAAAAGGATGGGTTTCAGGTAAACACTACTATTCGTTGTAAAACGATCCCTTGTTCTCTTTAACAAAAGGTTTGCAGTGGACATAATTATGCTAATTTTTTCTATCGAAACGGGTCCGGTGGAAGCGTACTACATTCATAGATGAAGCTAATCCTGGCGCCTACCCTAATACCTGTATTGTGCCCCCGAATACTTTGCTTATTTTCCATTACTTTGCAGTATTCAAAATTGTACGAATTAAGAAAAAGTAAACAAACTGTACAATACAGGGCCGTTAATGTACATGACACTAATTTGCATTTCCCGAAATTATGTCTGGCTTCAGCCCTTATAAGCCACGAAAAATAAAAATTTGCCGCTTATTTTCGTACGTTCGCCACTCGGTCCGTTCGATTTTCGTGATCTACGCGTTTTTAAAACTTTGTGTTTGTGCTTTTTTTTTTTTTTTTGTGTGTGTGTAAGGAATTTGTGTAATGGAAGCTGAACAAGAAGTGCGAAATCACCTCACAGCCCTCAGAGAACTAGCTGTTGGCGTTGAGCGTGTAACGGCAGACGAAATTTTGTTAAATTTGACGGCGATGCAGTGTGAAGCAATTCCCGTTCAGAGGTACAGTGTACCGACATTGCAAGATCTAACAATAAGAAGAATCATCAATGCCGAAGTACCACGAGAAACCTTACCAGTCGTGCTTGCTAACAGGATTAGGTCGCTACAGGAAGAGCAAGTAAGGTTTAGGCATGATGTCCGGGAGCTTAGACGAGCGGTAGCATACCTGAATGCTGACAGGATTGTCCTGCACAATAGCATCATCATGCGGATCGACGCCATACAAACATTAATCGAATGGTCTACTGACAGTCCACTAGATCCCGATGATGACTTTCCTGGATTAGCAGCTCATGCCCTAGATATGCTTCAATATTTTATTAATGCCAGTAATCAGCTGTTAAGCGGTTACGAGAATATTCAACGGCTCAGCGATGAACTTAGAAGGTGGTACGACAGTATTTTTTAAAGAGCAGGGGTATGACACCTTCCCGTACGGGCATAAGGCATAATTTATTGTTAAATAGTGTGTAAATATTAGCTTTGTACATATTTAGTTTTATTTATTTGTTTCTGTGATGTAATAAATATAATTAAAACTTGTTTTGCTCATTTCTAGCTTCTATTTTCAGCATACTACAGTGAGAACGATATACGCAATGAGTTAGAGAGAGAGAGAGAGAGAGAGAGAGATGGTGCACAATGAGTAAGAGAGAGAGCGATAGTGCACAAACCCAAAATATTTTTAAAGTCCTAATTTTTTTAAATTTTCCGCCTTCGGTGGCCATTTTGTTTTTCCGCCATTTTGTTTTCAATTAGAGTAATTAAAATGTAATTACACATGTGTGTGTGTATGTGTAATTATACATGTGTAATTGTTTATTACATATGTGTAATTACCACATATGTGCAATTATTTGTACAGCAAATTAATCGATCAGCGAATCAAATTAATTAGAGGAAATTCCCAGAAATCAAACCGCTAATCAAATTAATTAAACCGCGAATCAAATTAATCAAACCGAAATTCTAAGAAATCAACCGCGAATTAAATTAATTGGGCCGCGAATTAAATCAATCAAACCGCGAATTAAATTAATTGGGCCGCGAATTAAATTGATTAAGCAGCGAATCAAATTGATTAAACCGAAATTCTAAGAAATCAACCGCGAATTAAATTAATCAAACCGCCAATTTAATTAATTGATAACGTTATCAATCAAATCATATGCCAATAAAGACCAAAATCGCACAAAATTTTAATTAATTCCAAGAAATTAATCAAATTTCCCCGAAAACACCCCCGCCCACGTGGGCAACCCCCGCGAATCAATTTAATTGACCTTGATTTACCCCGCGAATAAAATCCAAGATGGCCGACAAGTGACGCGGTTCTACTGACGAATATTAGTGATAATGGACAAGAATTCACAATTAATTTTTTTAGAAAACAAACTCTGAAGGGCACTTACTTTACTTTTCCTCATGTACAAGACAAACAAACTGTTGCAAAAGAGGATATTGTTTCTAAGCTTTGTTTAAAACGCGTTGTTAGAGGAAGATTTTATTTTAGTATGCCAGATTATAATTTAGAATAAAGAATTTTACTGATTTACTGTTTATTTTTTGTACCTACTTCATTTCAAAGGGTGGAAAATTTTTTTAAAAAATTCTAATAGTGATCGACATTACCCCTATTACGTTTTAAAGTCGATTTCCACATAAATCAAGTGGTGATCGACTTTGCCCCAAAGGTGGGGTAAAGTCGACCATAAATATTTATTTTTTTTTATTGTTAATATTTATTAAAACAAGTTGTTAGTCACAATTGTTACTCAAAGCAATGAGCAACTGATATAGGGGGGTGTGGTTATGAAAGTAATGATAATTGCGGAAAAAAAACCGGAAAAACTCACATTTTGTGATCGACTTTGCCCCATTTTACGGTCCTCTAATGATAATGATGCAAATGTATATTTTTTATGCAACTCTGTTGATATTCGTAATTACAGTGAACATTTTAGGGCACATATAGTTGTTTGTAACAAGTTTGACAAAATGAATCCAATTTGTATAAAATTAAGTGAAATATTTTCAAAATTTCCTTTTAACGATTCACAGGGTGTTGGAAAATGAATATATTGACATAAACTACAAATATTATAATTTAAGAAATTAGAGTAAATAGGTATAGGTAACTCTCGTCAGGAGAGATTGCCGATCACAGAACACTTTGTACCGATCTACAATCGTATGATTTACTATAACAAACATATGTCAAATATTACTTCCGTAATAATAATGCTTTGATTAGAATATATTTTTTTAATCAGTATTATTATTAGAGAAGTAATTTGACATGTTTTTCTAGTAAACCATACGATTGCGGATCGGCATCAAGTGTTCTGTTAATGTTAGTTAAGAAAACTAAAATATGTGTAATTTTCTGCCTTGGAACGCTAATCTATTTATAGGTTTATATATAATATATATATATATATATATATATATATATATATATATATATCACTTCCAAGAAACACCCTAACCTGCTTAATTATGAACCGATTTCGACCAAACTTTAAGGGTTGGTGTAACTCACAAATATCTCGGTTAAGTTTGTGAATCAGCCAATTCTGCCATTTGGAAACAAAATGGCGGACACTTTTATAAGAAAAACGCAACCTTCTTATTTATGCAGCAATTTGAACGAAAATTTGATGGTAGGTCTCTCTAATAAAAGCAAATAAAATGCATGCATAAAAATTCTATTGCGCATGCGCAAAATGCAACTTTCTTATTTATGGTGCAATTTGAACGCAATTTTGATGGTAGGTTAAAGAAATCTACCTACACCTGATCGGCCTAGCCGAAAGGGATTTTGTATTACATTACATTACAATAAAAAAACAAGATAAAATATCAACATGTGAAAATATCAACTTACATGTGTGCAGTTCCCATCATGATTACCAACCTAATTAATATTAAAGAATTAAGTTAAAATAAACAAGAAGACAACGAGCGGAGTTTTCGAGTGGTTAGTCATTCAAATACTAACCGGGAGCAACGCTTCTTGACTTTAGACAATAAGTGAATGAATTATTAGTAATCATATATTAATATTAAACACAAACAAAAGTAAAGTATGATTATAATGTGTCATTCATTTTGAAATATCTTTTTAAATAACTTCAGTAAAAAATAAAAATACGA